GTATTTCCTTATATTTTCTATTAAACTAATCATTGATTAAATTGCATTTTGAAAATTAAAAGAACAAATGAATGATTGATTCCAATGTCACTACAACTTGTTACTAAATAATGCGTATTGTTTGGCTCACATTTTGGAATAGTGATTAATTGGAGAATGTGTAATTGAAAATAAATGAAAAGTTGTAAATTTATGTATTTGGAGAATATATGATTAAAATTAAGAAAGAGAAAAAAAATTTAAATTTTAATTGGGGCAAACAAGGGCTAAGTCTGTATTTGGTAGCCATTTCCCATTCATTTTTAGATATTATCTTATTGTTGCACAATAAATGGACCTTTGAATTTCACTCCCCTCTAACACGTCAAAGAAATACATGTGCCTGTACAATGAAAATCCTTTTTTCAAAAAATGGGTAGTTGGAGGCATGTGGGTAAAGTAGATTTTTCAAAATTCACATGCAATTGTCCTTCGTTGTCAGAACCTTCAATCAATAAAAAATTGGACTGTTCTGTGCAACGGGCAAATCCAAATCGTTATCCTTATCCTTATCCTTATCCTTATCTCCTTTCCTTACTCATATAAAAGAGAGGATTGCCTTACCACTGTTCATTTATGGTACGTGTTCACACGTATCCGATTTGAAACTGAGTTTTTCTTTTTGTTGCTTGTACAGTGGAGCCACAATTGTTAATTGCCATCTATCATCTCTCTAATCCTATAATGTATGATTATGCAAGTATTAACTTCGTATTTTTTGATTGTTTGCAAGTTGATTCGGTATCAATGTGAAGATTTGTTGGATTTTGATACCCAATGAATCTCAGACTACGATGTAAATATTAGAATATAATCTTACAGACGTCAGCCAATAGTGAATTGATTTCTAACATATCCAAAGGCTCGATCCAAAAATAACGTGGACCATTGGAAGTAACTGAAGAAATTAATGCTACTCACGACTCATATATATTTACCTATTGGATGCAATTAAATCTTGGCTCATTTAATGATTTTATTGGTCCAACTAAAGTTTAACCTATTACTATATATATATGTTACTTTTGCCCTAGCCATTTGTGTGTGATTTGTGCAAGAAAAAGAGACAAAAACGTGGCCATTGTGAGAGAGAAATCAGCAGCCTGCTTTGGGGCAAAAACCGTTTGGCTTCTTCCTTCATTTTGGTCTATCTTTGCGTGTCTTTCATAGCCTTTTTTCGTGTCTTTGTGGCATGCAAATCAACACATTTATCTTGTCCTTTGTGGGTGAAATTGAGAAGCAATTGGGGTAAATATATTGATTTTGGATCGGAGCCGTTTGAATTGATTGTTTGGTAGAAAAAGTGTTGCGTGAAACTAAGCTCGAAAAACACCGTTTAGAAGATCTTGGAGCAAGCTTCCGCAACATTGTCGTAGGTCTTAAATTCGATATCACAAAAATAAATCAAGATTGAAAGATGTTGAGGAAGTTCAATTTTTTTAAAATCATTCGAAACCAATAGTGGATGAAGTTTGGGCGAA